CTGGAGTAATGATGCTGAAAATACAGCTTTGATCACAGGAATAAATTACAGTTTAACAGATATTCACATAGAAACGGCTGTTTTAAATTCTAATAATATTTCACTATTTTTAACATATTTTTGATCAAATAAATGCAGCCTTGGTGAGCAGAAGAGACATAAACATGACATCTTAATTCCAAAGTTTTGACTGGTAGTTTAACATTTAATGGATGTATTTTAAAAAATATTATTAATCCTAATAAGTATTCATCTTAAATGTCTTTTATGTTAAGAATTTTTTTTTTTGTACTTTAAAGATGATTTTCTCAATATTTAGATTTTTTTGCACCCTCAGATTCCAGATTTTCATATTTTCGTGTCCTTTTCCATGTCCATTTTCAACAAACCATACATCAATGGAAAGCTTATTTATTCAGCTTTCAGATGATGCATAAATCTAAATTTACAAAAATTGACCCTTATGACTGGTTTTGTGCTCCAGGGACACATATTTGATTGTAATGTTTGTATCCCCCGGGATACGTCGCTCCTTTGTTGGTATAAATTCACTGAAAACAGAACACTTGTATATCAATGCTTGTTACAGCATGGTTGTAATTCCTGAATGCTTTGGAATACAGACCTAAAGTTGGTCTCTTTTTAAAGAAGACACGCAAGAAGTGAAAGCATTTCAAAAAAAAAAAAAGAAACTATAAAAAAAGTTATAGAAGTTTAGGTTTACACTAAAGGTAATGTAGTATTTATTTTATTTTATTTTATTTTATATAAAGTATGTTGCACTCTAAAATTGCTATAAAATCAAAGTCACATGTCTAACCAAGTTATGTTCCAAATTTGAAGTTGATATCACAAAAATTGTGGTTCCTGTGAGATTTTGTTTGGGCGCTATACCAAAAATAACCACTGGGTTACACCCAAACTCTAATGAATTATTCTGATGTGGTTTTCTGTCACAAATCAATCAATTTCTGTCACAGTATCACTTCTATTACAAAACAGTTACCAAATATGGAAACTGTACTGTCAGACATTTCCAACGATATGCATTTTGTCAGGATTACAAAAAGATTTGATTTTCTAAAACACAAGCCACAAAATCTCAGGGTCTATATATGTATGTTTTATATCTTGATTTATTCCAAAAAAATATTATTAATCCTAATAAGTATTCATCTTAAATGTCTTTTATGTTAAGAATTTTTTTTTTGTTTTTTTTTCAATATGAAAGTAGCCCTGCTCCTGACATGGTGTTAAAAATAAACCAACAATAACTGTGTGTCTAGAGATGATGTAAAGCACATGTGTTTGTCAGGCGTTCACGGCTCTTGATGCTCTGGCTGACGGTGGGGTGAAGATGGGGTTGCCACGGCGACTGGCGGTCAGACTGGGAGCTCAAGCTTTATTGGTACTTCACGTCACATGACTCCGGCTCTCATGCAGTGCATGATACAAACATTACACACATTCTTAAACTTCTTACTGTAACATAAATGGTGTTTAAAGTTGTGTTTTGGGTCATTATGCTTTGGAGTTTAGGTTTACACTAAAGGTAATGTAGTATTTATTTTATTTTATTTTATTTTATATAAAGTATGTTGCACTCTAAAATTGCTATAAAATCAAAGTCACATGTCTAACCAAGTTATGTTCCAAATTTGAAGTTGATATCACAAAAATTGTGGTTCCTGTGAGATTTTGTTTGGGCGCTATACCAAAAATAACCACTGGGTTACACCCAAACTCTAATGAATTATTCTGATGTGGTTTTCTGTCACAAATCAATCAATTTCTGTCACAGTATCACTTCTATTACAAAACAGTTACCAAATATGGAAACTGTACTGTCAGACATTTCCAACGATATGCATTTTGTCAGGATTACAAAAAGATTTGATTTTCTAAAACACAAGCCACAAAATCTCAGGGTCTATATATGTATGTTTTATATCTTGATTTATTCCCCTAAAAGGGCGACGTATCCCCGAGATACAAACATTTACAGACAGATTATAAAAAATGTAAGCATTCATAAAATTTCAATGTAAACCTAATAAGCTAATGCTGAACAACAGCTGATGGCCTTATGGATTATGCATGTTTAATTCGTTTTTCAATTTTAAAAAGTGTTCAATTACTTTCATGCTGTTTACTGTCAGAAAACAATTGCAAATAATTTACCTTTGGGGTACAGCAGTCTGTACTGCCTTAAAATTGTTTTGTTTTTTTTACCCCCACTTACATTTTTCTGGATTTAGTTTGGTTGAATTAATGGTCAAACCAATTTATTTTTTAGTAATCAAAAGCATGTCTAATGAATTAAAATTATGAAACTTGCAAAGTTTAACAACAATTAGTAAAATTTTAGCAACAATTCAATTTCTAGTGCCTTATGAAATCCATTTTATTTTTTCCTAAATGGTTTTTTCCACTTATGTTTCTGGATTCAGTTTTAATGGTTAAATGAAATTTTTAGTAATCAAAAAAGCATCATGTCTAATGCATTGAAAATATGAAATGTATACAGTTTAACAACAGTTTATCAAATTTCTAAATCTCTGAAATCGGTTTTATTTTTTACCAAATTCTGTTTATTTTTTATTTTATTAATTTATTATTATTTTTTTAAATTTTCTGGAATCCATTTGAATGGTTGAATTCAATTTTAACAATCGAAAAGCATGCCAAATCAATTGAATTTGGTAAAACTTTCCCAGTTTTATAACTGATTACGCTTTTTACAATAATGGGGCCCTATGAAATGTTTTATTTTTTCAGAAATTCTGTTTTAATTTTTATTAATTAATACAAATGTGTTAATGGCAATAATCAAATTAATTCATAAAACTTTAACAGTTTAATTAATCTTTTAACATGTAATCCAATGAAAATTCAACAGTTTATTTTATTTCAAAGTGCTGCACAACAGAGGTTTACTGTTAAAATGAAAACATGAATAACAAATTTGTAAATAATAATAATAATAATTATTATTATTATTATTTGAGAAGTACATTCTTCTGTGCAATAGTAATATATTTCTGTCTCAAGTTATAATGTGTATTTTGGTAGGTTTTAGTAAAGACCTTTGATTAAAAACTATGGTCAGATAAACACAGAAACTTAAAATGAAATGCAAAGTGAACATAAAGTGTGCATATTAGTACTTTAGAATAGTAAAGTAATTGTTTAAATAAATAATAAAAATAATTAGTAATAATTTAATGATATGCACCTTTTAGTGCTAAATAAGGTAGAAAGACGCCCCTTTGTCGGTTCTTTCCCTGTTGTTAGTCACTCATCCCGCCTGTGTTCCTCCTCACAGGGAGCTACAGTTTCTGGCCGATCAGGAGAAGATCTCACCCACTGCCATCAAGAAGACGACGCTGGATAAAGTGCTGCAGCAACCGGGCGTCTCGTCCACGTCAGTCGTCACCAAGAGCAGAGTGAACCTGTTCAACAACAGGAGCGGCGTCAAGAAGTGAACACACACACACACACAGAGGACAATACAAGAACTGTGCCGTCCATCCACACACACACACATGCACATTCAGACTGAAATGCATTATGGGTCTGTGCTTGTGCTGACAGAGCGCCTCCTGTTACACTGGTACAGTATTACACCGGGAAACACAAGTCATAAAGAGTGTTATTAATATTATTATTTGCACCTTCATATCTATAAAGTCCATGACAATTCAAAGGGAATAATGTAAATGGTTTCCAAACATGTTTTTATGTAAATGGTTACTTTGTTCTAGGATTAAACTGGACACATGACACACGTTTTGCATACATGAACTGTCAGACTTGTTGATTTTGTTTTGGTTAACAAGATATCAGAACACCTTATAGCAACGCCCTGGCAACAACCCCTATAGCAATGCCCTGGCAACAACTCACCACACCCTATAGCAACGCCCTGGCAACAACTCACCACACCCTATAGCAACACCCTGGCAACAACTCAAAACACCTTATAGCAACGCCCTGGCAACAACTCAAAACCCCTATAGCAACGCCCTGGCAACAACTCACCACACCCTATAGCAACACCCTGGCAACAACTCAAAACACCCTATAGCAACGCCCTGGCAACAACTCACCACACCCTATAGCAACGCCCTGGCAACAACTCACCACACCCTATAGCAACGCCCTGGCAACAACTCAGAACACCCTATATAGCAACGCCCTGGCAACAACTCAAAACCCCTATAGCAACACCCTAGCAACAACTCACCACACCCTATAGCAACGCCCTGGCAACAACTCAAAACCCCTATAGCAACGCACTGGCAACAACTCACCACACCCTATAGCAATGCCCTGGCAACAACTCAAAACCCCTATAGCAATGCCCTGGCAACAACTCGCCACACCCTATAGCAACGCCCTGGCAACAACTTAAAACACCCTATATAGCAACGCCCTGGCAACAACTCAAAACACCCTATAGCAACGCACTGGCAACAACTCAAAACCCCTATAGCAACGCCATGGCAACTACTCACCACACCCTATAGCAACGCACTGGCAACAACTCAAAACCCCTATAGCAACGCCTTGGCAACAACTCAAAACACCCTATAGCAATGCACTGGCAACAACTCACCACACCCTATAGCAATGCCCTGGCAACAACTCAAAACCCGTATAGCAATGCCCTGGCAACAACTCGCCACACCCTATAGCAACGCCCTGGCAACAACTTAAAACACCCTATATAGTAACGCCCTGGCAACAACTCAAAACACCCTATAGCAACGCACTGGCAACAACTCAAAACCCCTATAGCAACGCCATGGCAACTACTCACCACAGCCTATAGCAACGCCCTGGCAACAACTCACCACACCCTATAGCAACACCCTGGCAACAACTCAAAACACCTTATAGCAACGCCCTGGCAACAACTCAAAACCCCTATAGCAACGCCCTGGCAACAACTCAAAACTCATATAGCAACGCCCTGGCAACAACTCAAAACCCCTATAGCAATGCCCTGGCAACAACTCAAAACCCCTATAGCAACGCCTTGGCAACAACGCAACACCCCCTATAGAAATGGCCTGGCAACAACTCAAAACACCTTATTGCAACGCCCTGGCAACCATATAGCAACAGCCTGACAAGAACTCAAAACCCCATAGCAATGCTTTGGCAACAACGCAATACCCCCTATAGAAATGGCCTGGCAACAACTCAAAACACCTTATTGCAACACCCTGGCAACCATATAGCAACAGCCTGACAAGAACTCAAAACCCCATAGCAACCCTATAGCACCTCCTTGGCAACAACTCAAAACACCATATAGAAATGTCCTGGCAACAATTCAAAACAGCCTTTAACAACACCTGGCAACAACTCAAATCACCCTATAGCAACACCCTAACAACACTCAAAACCCCATAGCAACTCTATAGCAACCCCCTGGCAACAACTCAAAACCCTCTAGCAACGCCCTGGCAACAACTTTTATTTTGCTTTTTTGCTCTTTAAATTGGATTTATTCTGTTGATTTCTTTTTAATACCTTACCTGTAAATTCTTTCTGAAACATTTTATCAGGATGTATTGCAGACCTGGACACTTATATTTGTTGTTTGTTTTTTAAAATTCTGGAGAAAATAATGAATGTCAAACAGCCAGTGTTTTGTAAACCGATTATCAGGCGTGAAGCATCTTTCTGTTTGTCTGTTCTGTGTATTTCTATTGCAGAATATGAAAACTGCATAAACGGTTCTGACAGTTAAAGAAAAGCTGTTTTTGCTTACGCTTGTGGTTTTATTTCCGTCGGCTTCATTGATGAACTGTGTTCCTGATGAGCGAGAACATTGTTGCGTTTGTTCCAGACATGTAATTAAAGAGGGAGCAAACTATAAATAATGAATGTTTCTTTAAGCAAATTAACTGAAGGTTTTTCTCTGAAAGCCATTACTCAACTATACAGGAGAACAAACACACGGCACACCACCCTTCAGGTGCTGAACACTGAAACCACCAGCATTGCGCAAGTTTTCTCAGTAGTCGCTTGTTCCTTGTGCTTTACAGTAAACGGTTTCTCCATGTGATTGCGAAAGGATTTCATTCATTGAACTGTTCAGTTTTTAGTGAGTCTAGTTATAATACTGAAAGATAGCACTTGATCAGATGCACCATTTTCACCTGCTGACCCATAAAACAGGTGAAGAAATCCCACAGGTAAGTTTTAGAAATGCTAAAAACAGACACCTTAGCAACTGCATGGCAATGTTTTAAAATGTAACTCTTGATACCCTAGCAACCCTATAGCAATGCACTGGCAACAACTTAACAACATAGCAACATCCTGGTACCAACACAAACACCCTATAGCTTTCAGTCACGTGACCGGCTCCCTTATTGCAACACCCTGGCAACCATATAGCAACAGCCTGACAAGAACTCAAAACCCCATAGCAACCCTATAGCACCTCCTTGGCAACAACTCAAAACACCATATAGAAATGTCCTGGCAACAATTCAAAACAGCCTTTAACAACACCTGGCAACAACTCAAATCACCCTATAGCAACACCCTAACAACACTCAAAACCCCATAGCAACTCTATAGCAACCCCCTGGCAACAACTCAAAACCCTCTAGCAACGCCCTGGCAACAACTTTTATTTTGCTTTTTTGCTCTTTAAATTGGATTTATTCTGTTGATTTCTTTTTAATACCTTACCTGTAAATTCTTTCTGAAACATTTTATCAGGATGTATTGCAGACCTGGACACTTATATTTGTTGTTTGTTTTTTAAAATTCTGGAGAAAATAATGAATGTCAAACAGCCAGTGTTTTGTAAACCGATTATCAGGCGTGAAGCATCTTTCTGTTTGTCTGTTCTGTGTATTTCTATTGCAGAATATGAAAACTGCATAAACGGTTCTGACAGTTAAAGAAAAGCTGTTTTTGCTTACGCTTGTGGTTTTATTTCCGTCGGCTTCATTGATGAACTGTGTTCCTGATGAGCGAGAACATTGTTGCGTTTGTTCCAGACATGTAATTAAAGAGGGAGCAAACTATAAATAATTAATGTTTCTTTAAGCAAATTAACTGAAGGTTTTTCTCTGAAAGCCATTACTCAACTATACAGGAGAACAAACACACGGCACACCACCCTTCAGGTGCTGAACACTGAAACCACCAGCATTGCGCAAGTTTTCTCAGTAGTCGCTTGTTCCTTGTGCTTTACAGTAAACGGTTTCTCCATGTGATTGCGAAAGGATTTCATTCATTGAACTGTTCAGTTTTTAGTGAGTCTAGTTATAATACTGAAAGATAGCACTTGATCAGATGCACCATTTTCACCTGCTGACCCATAAAACAGGTGAAGAAATCCCACAGGTAAGTTTTAGAAATGCTAAAAACAGACACCTTAGCAACTGCATGGCAATGTTTTAAAATGTAACTCTTGATACCCTAGCAACCCTATAGCAATGCACTGGCAACAACTTAACAACATAGCAACATCCTGGTACCAACACAAACACCCTATAGCTTTCAGTCACGTGACCGGCTCAAAGACCTGGAGGGCAAAACATCCATAGATCTGCAGCACAAGCCTGTCAATTTTCCATCTGTTTCACAGCCGCAAATATTTAGATCACCTCTCAAAAGAATAAAACAAAGTTATGTGAACAAAATGCAAGTTTTGGCCATTTGCAATCCATATTAAGCACCCGCGGCAATATTTAAATCATTAAACAGTGCAACAAAACGTAAAAACACTTAAAGTGCCTTAATATATTTAAAACCGTAATATTCTCTATATTATATGCATAGTTTACATAGGCAAGCAGATGAGGCCGGAATATGAACGCAATCCGCTTAATGGTTCAGTGTTTTCCTTCTAATGGTTTTCTATGGGAAACCATTTAATGTGAAACTTTGCACATTGCGTTTATATTCTGGCTTCATCTGCTTGCCTGTACAAAATATACACAAGGTGTTTACTGAATTTCGCCTTTTAATATCTGCGTTTTACTACATTACTACTTAATGCAAACTGCGTGAAAATAACTGGCGGTCAGTGGAGCAAAGCTTCGTTTTGCCCTCCAGGTGGGCGTTCCTATAAGGGTGTGACGTCACGTGAAAACTATCAATAGCAATGACCTAACAACAACTCAAAACACCCCATAGCAACACCCTGGCAACAACTTAAAACAGCAACACCCCTGACAACAACTCTGAAAACCCCAGAGCAATGCCCTGGCAACAACTCAAAACACTATAGCAATGCCTTGGCAACAAATCAAAACACCCTAGCAACACCCTGGCAACAATTCAAAACACTGTATAGCAACACCCTGGAAACAACTCAAAATACCCTAGCAACACCCTGGCAACAACTCGGAAAACCCCATAGCAATGCCCTGGCAACAACTCAAAACACTGTATAGCAACGCCCTGGCAACAATTCAAAACACCCTAGCAATGCTCTGACAACAACTCAAAACACCCTATAGCAACACCCTGGCAACAACTCAAAACACCCTAGCAACACCCCTGACAACAACTTGGAAAACCCCATAGCAATGCCCTGGCAACAACTCAAAATACCCTAATAACACCCTGGCAACAACTCAAAACACCCTAACAACGCCCTGGCAACAACTCAAAACTAGCATTGCCCTGGCAACAACTCAAAACACAGTATAGCAACGCTCTGGCAACAACTCAAAACACCCTACAGCAACGCTATGGTAAAAACTCAAAATACCCTAGCAACACCCTGGCAACATCTCAAAACACCGTAGTAATGCCCTGGCAACAAATCAAAACCCCAAAGCAACGCCCTGGCAACAACTCTGAAAACCCCAGAGCAATGCCCTGGCAACAACTCAAAACACTATAGCGATGCCTTGGCAACAAATCAAAACACCCTAGCAACACCCTGGCAACAACTCAGAACACCCTATAGCAACACCCTGGCAACAACTCAAAACAGCAACACCCCTGACAACAACTCGGAAAACTCCATAGCAATGCCTTGGCGACAACTCAAAACACTATAGCAATGCCTTGGCAACAAATCAAAACACCCTAGCAACACCCTGGCAACAACTCAAAACACTGTATAGCAACGCCCTGGCAACAATTCAAAACACCCTAGCAATGCTCTGGCAACAACTCAAAACACCCTGACAACAACTCAGAAAACCCCATAGCAATGCCCTGGCAACAACTCAAAACACTATAGCAATGCCTTGGCAACAAATCAAAACACCCTAGCAATGCCCTGGTAACAACTCAAAATACCCTAATAACACCGTGGCAACAACTCAAAACACAGTATAGCAACGCTCTGGCAACAACTCAAAACACAGTATAGCAACGCTCTGGCAACAACTCAAAACACAGTATAGCAACGCTCTGGCAACAACTCAAAACACAGTATAGCAACGCTCTGGCAACAACTCAAAACACCCTACAGCAACGCTATGGTAAAAACTCAAAATACTCTAGCAACACCCTGGCAACATCTCAAAACACCGTAGCAATGCCCTGGCAACAAATCAAAACCCCATAGCAACGCTCTGGCAACAACTCAAAACACCCTACAGCAACGCTATGGTAAAAACTCAAAATACTCTAGCAACACCCTGGCAACATCTCAAAACACCGTAGCAATGCCCTGGCAACAAATCAAAACCCCATAGCAACGCTCTGGCAACAACTCAAAACAACGTGTAGCAACACCCTGGCAACAACTCAAAACACCCTATAGCAACGCCCTGGTAAAAACTCAAAATACCCTAGCAACACCCTGGCAACAACTCAAAACACCGTAGTAATGCCCTGGCAACAACACAAAACACTGTATAGCAACGCCCTAGCAACAACTCAAAACACCCTAGCAACGCCCTGACAACAACTCAGAAAACCCCATAGCAATGCCTTGGCAACAATTCAAAACACCATAGCAACGCCCTGGCAACAACTCAAAACACCATTTAGCAATGCCTTAGCAACAATTCAAAACACCCTAGCAACGCTCTTGACAACCATGCACAACAATTTAATATCAGTGCAGTGGTGAGTTTAGGTAAGGCAAGATTTTTTTTTAGCATATTTCATACACAAGTGCTTCATGTTAAAAATATGCATAAGAAATACAAAAAACATTAAAAATTAAAAATAGAGAATTATTAAAGTGTATTAAAAGTCAGAGTCCGCAGAGACGCATGCTTTTCTCGCATACAGCTGTAGTTGTGTGAATGTTGTGCATGCAGTTCTCGTGAATTCTGGACCTGCAGCTCTGAGTCAGTCGGGCTGATGTGAGGAACGCTGGAGGCTCAGGCTATTTCTAGAGCTGCATTGTGCAGATGTTTCTCTGCTCCGCTGGCATGGAGATGAGTGCGTGTCACTCTGAAGACACCAGTCCAGTTTTAGAAGCGTCAGGGTCACTTCTGAAGCTGCTCTGACCTACAGGTCAAAGGTCATGCAGGGGACACACAAACTCAGAGAACCAGCAGAGCAAACACATGAAGATCTGCCTGAACAATACTGTAGAATCACAGATAACAAAAATGCCTTCTAAAGGCTGATTTATACTTCTGCGTCGGACCTACGCCGTAGCCTTTACGCCGTAGGTTATGCGTCAGTTTTCATTTATACTTCTGCGTCGTTGTCCGTGTCAACGTGCAGTACACATGCAAACCGCTAGTCAGCAGTGTCCACGGGCATGTTGCTGGTGTAACCCGCAGTACCACGGCAAAAGCCAGAGAAGCAGCAGCTCGTCGGAGAAGCATTATAGCCGTCACGGCGGCAAATAAATATTAAATCATTATTTAAAACTACAAAAAGGAGACAACAATGAAACAGGAGATGATGGCATTCTTTCAATCTGCACAAGGACTTGT